CTTACAGAGAACAATGACATCCACCCCTCCATCATGTGACAGTGCTTGGGGCTAGCGGATGACTATTAGGCTCAAGCACAGCATGGGAGGAAGTCGCATGCTCCCGGTGGGATGAACTAAGAACCCAGAAAGCGTACTTGGGCTGAGCACTCAGGACCTGGCCTACAAGTCAATTTATTAAAGGGGTTTTGCAATATGGCAGAAGGGACCAGAATGGAGGGGGTCAAAGTTCCAACAATTCATGAGATGGGAATCCAGGGAGGCCCCCTAACTCCAGCAACAATTACTCATATCGGGGTAGTACTGCAAGTCCCAGCTATCCCAGTGTCCACATAGAAGCACGCAGCCAAGCATTCCCAGTGTCCAGATAGCAGCATGCAGCCAATACAGAACTACAGGTCCCAGCAGCCCCAGTGTCCACATAGCAGCACACTTCTGATACTAGACTATAGGCCTCAGCAGTCCCTATGTCCAGATAGCGGTGCATCTCCAATAGTAGACTACAAGCCCCAGCAGTCCCTATGTCCAGATAGCAGTGCATATCCAATAGTAGACTACAAGCCCCAGCAGTCCCAGTGTCCAGATAGCAGTACATATCCAATAGTAGACTACAAGCCCCGGCAGTCCCAGTGTCCAGATAGCAGCATGCAGCCAATATGGAATTGCAAGTCCCAATAGTTCTCAGCTGCCACTTTAAATCCTCTTCTAGTCTCCTGCCGTGCAGCCATAAGTGTCTCCATGCCTAACCATGGAGTAAACTCTGAATACTCGGACTCTCTTCTCTGAACGCAGAGCTGTTGCATTGGAGTTCAGCCATCCGAGTCCGGAACACCCAATTCCCATGGCTGAGGTGTCTGTATCCTGGTACAGAATATGGATCCTGAGCTCCCCGCTGAGTGGGCAAAGGAATCCATTGATCAGCCATGCAGATCAGATGATGATTTACAAGCTGCTTAGTTCTTCATTCAGTAACATTTGTTTTATTGAATCTGCTGATTTTTACATTACCATCAAATACTGACCCATGTCGGGGTTCGGGGTGCTGCCTGCAGGGCTTCACATTGCCTGGAACAAAGGATATTTTTTGCAGTGTCAAGGTGACAGGGTCTCTTTTAAGGTGTGATTTACTCCATTGTATGTATTTTTCTCCACCCAGGAAAGGGAGAGGGAAAGAGATAGAGACAGACAGAGAGACAGAGACCGGGATCGAGACCGAGAGCGACGCCAGCGAGAGAGAGAACGCGAGCGGGAGAGAGAGAAAGACCGCCAGAAGCGGAAAGATGAATGGGAGCGTGACCGGAGTAAGCGGGACGAGAAGGAAAGACAGAAGGAGAGAGAAAAGGACAAAGAGAAGGAAAAGAAGGTTCGGTCTCCTCTACTGCCCAGGTTAGTGATCTTCTGTTCCATCCATGGAGCAAGTCAGAAGTGTTTTATACCGTCCACACACCACGCAATCTGATTGTTCGATCTCTTAGTTCTCCTGACAGCTGTGTGGTGCAAAGGAATGCTTGAGAAGTGGTAATTGTACTGAAACTCTACAATTGGATTGTATGGGGGCTTTGGCGGCCGTCCTGTGTGTCGGCTGGGGCTTGGGCGGCCGTCCTGCCTCTCGGCTGGGGCTTGGGCGGCCGTCCTGCCTCTCGTCCTGTGTCTCATTTAAGTGATTTCTGGTAATCGGGTCACTGCTGAACACTGGCAGGGTAACCGCGCCACTGAAATATTTGTATTTTCTGAAATTAAATGATTTTACATTGTGTGAGTCTTAGGCTGACAATGTGAAGGGTAATAGCAGAACTGGCTGACGGCAACTAGGTTAAAAGAAGAGCTGTGTGATGGTGTATAGCAGGGGTGGGCAAACTCCGGTCCTCTAGCTGTAGTGGAAGGCAGTGCAAGATTCTCACAGGCATGACTCCCGCAGACAGATGCATCATGGGATTTGTAGTTCCACCACAGCTGGAGGGCTGAAGTTTGCCCAACGCTGGTGTATAGGATAATAGAAGAGCTGTGTGATGAATTTTGCCTACCCCTAGTATATAATCATAGCTAGGAAGCGGTGATGTCACTCCTGTATAATATATCTGGAGAGCGGTGATGTCACTCTTTTATAATATATCTTGTATCTCTCCCGGGAGCGCTGTGTTTCTAATTTTAGCCAGTTTTTGGGTTTTTTGGGGAAGTTTCCGTCTCAGGTGACAGGAGGTCACACAGGTTGAGTTCCCGGCAATGCTCTCCTTCCCCCTAAATTCTGCAGATTGCTGAGTGTTGACATGCTGGTTGGAGTCGGCATTCAGCGCTTTCACTTTGCTCTCCGGCTGGAAGTTTGCGGCGCTGTAATAAGTAGGTGAGAGTTGGTGCCGGTAATTTCCCTGTTCGGCATTGTCTGTTCCTGAGCTGTACTTTCCTGTCACCTGGTCACTAGGAGAACTGCGCACACTCGCTCTGTGACTTTTCCCCTCCAGCACGCGCCTCTCGTTCTTTGTTTGCACGCCGACTCCGTCCACCAGCCTGTCACTCCTTAAAGCCACAGCGCTGGCATGTTTCCTAAAGCTGGAACCAGGAGGGACTGTTGCCTTTTGTCAGCCCTGCATGGACTCTTCACAGCCAGAGCTCAGAGTTCCTTGCACAGACATTCAGCCTGTGTGTTTCCTGCTTTGGACATTCGATCTGCACCTCCCCTGGCTCGCCAGCTGTAAGGGTTCTCGCCGGCTGTAAAGGTGCCCATACACTTTACAACCATCGCACGACTTTTGTCTTGCGAGGGTTGTAAAGTACTTAAAAAAACGTACGATCTGCCTATCTTGGACAGGCAGATCGTACTTGTGATCATCGCAAGCCCGCCCCCTTGAGGGGCGGGCTTGCGAAGACTGCAATGAGGGGCGGGCTTGCAAGGACGGCATGGGTATCACTTTTTTGCCGAGCGTTGATCTTCTTCCTCGGGATGTTGGGGATCACTTTTTTGCCGAGCGTTGATCTTCTTCCTCGGGATGTTGGGGATCACTTTTTTGCTGAGCTTGGATCTTCTTCCTCGGAATGTTGGGTTTCCTTCGTTGAGGACGGACGCGCGGACTTCTCTATAAACAATACAACGTCACCACTTTAAGAAAAATATCATCTGTTATGCAACGAAATGTTCGAATATTTTGTCAGTTATGCAAGAATTTTTACAGGGAAACTTTGGTGTCCCGTGTTAGATTTTAGCTCCGCCCCTTCTGCTCAGCTGCTCCGCCTTTCCTGAGTTTCCCAGGTGGCAGTTAAAGGGACGGTGTACATTTTGCGGGGTGCGTTTCACTGAAGATCATTCACGTTGTACGGGCCGGAAACTTTCTTATGTTTTTTTTCATCGTCATTTTTTTGGGAACTTTTTTAAGAAGCTTGTTCAGAGTTCATGCGTTCCATTCCTGCATTCTGTGTTTCGGGTTCTACCACTATTCCCAACTAGTATACTACATGACCAAAAGTATGTGGACCCCCCCAATGCCACCCCCCAATGATGGGGTTCAGGTGTCCCCAGTGAAGGTTCTGTTGATACTCCATCATACAAAGACATTGTACACAATTGTGACACCAGGAAGTACATATTCACAGGGCTGAGTGAAATGGTGTCAGTGCATTGAGGAAGTCCATCCTATGGGCATCTTTAACCAGTCAGTTTACAGACTTCTAGATGGATCTGGTTATTGGAAGTGGAGTTTAATATAGAAATACTTTTGGACCATAGTTACCCTTTTAAGCCCAACTCAACTGATGCTTTTAAAGCAGTTACATGATTTTTGTTGGCACAATATGAAAGTGGACTATTGTAATCCCCGCCTCCCCCGCAGTGTTCTGTGGTATGTCCTAGGAATGCACTGATACTAGTATCGGTGCCGATACCAAGTATTTGGGCGAGTACTCTTACTCGCCCAAATGTTTCGATGTCTCGCTCCGATACCCGAACTTCCGGTATTAGGAAGCCGGGCAGCGAGTCATTACACGCTGCCCAGCTTCCTGATTGGCCATGGAGCCGGCTTCCTGATTGGTCGGGAAGATGGCCAATGAGGAAGCCAGGCGGCTTGTCATTACCCGCAACCCCCCGGCTTCCTGATTTGCCAGAAGGCAGGCTCCATGCTCTCTCGTCACCTGGTGATGAGGGAGCATGGAGCCGGCTTCCCGGCCAATCGGGAAGCTGTGCACCGTGTAATGACTTGCCGCCTGGCTTCCTGATTGGTCGAGAAGCTGGCAAATCAGGAAGATAGGCAGCAAGTCATTACCCACCCCTTGGCTTCCTGATTGGCCGGGAAGACTGCTCCATGCTCCCTCCTCACATAGTGACGAGAAGCATGGGGACGGCTTCCCTGCTAATCAGGAAGTCGGGTGGCGAGTCTTTACACGCCGCCTGGCTTCCTGAATGGGGCGTCCGGTAAAAAAAAATTCCGTACTCTTACTCGGTACCGAAATACCAGTATCAGTGCATCCCTACTGAATACTACTATTCCAGGTATCGCCTCCTGTACAGTTTTCAGTATACAATACCCTGTTTCGCCGAAAATAAGACCCAGTTGTGACCATTCCCAGGGCCGGCGGTTGCATAAGGGGGAACTTGAAAAACCGCGGGAGAGGCAGGAGAGAATCAGCGGTGCCAACGCAGCCGGCGCTAGAGGAAGCGAGGCGGCAGCGGAGGGAGCAGAGCCGCATAAGCCGATGCTTCCTCTATAGCGCCGACTCCTGTCACAGGCGGAGTGATACCAAATGCACTCCGCCTGCGAGGAATCCATAGTGAAAGCGCGCTTCGCTCATTCTGGCCAGCGATTGGTTACCACGTTGCTCTTGGAAAGGTACGGCACCTCTGATTGCCCTGATCACCATATTCTTAACTTTGCCATTTTGGATTATTTAAATCTGGATTTGGGTTCACTTTGGATTGTTATACATTAAAAAAATAAGACCTACCCCGAAAATAAGACCTGGTGTGAAAATAAGACCTGGTGTGTTTCGGGGAAACCCGGTAGTTCCCCGCAGTGGTCCTGGGAACGGTCAGTCGTTGCCTCGTGACATGGGTTGTACGGCATTATAGATCCGCTGTAGCAGAGTTCATCATTCTATACGATGTGTCGGGTCTGATGAAGTAACAATCAGTTGCCGGCATCATAAGTGAGACATAAAATGATTGTTTTAATTGCTGTGCGGTGCTTTACAGGCCAGAATTACATGAAAATGTTCCTCTGGTAGTTCCCAGAACCGCATTCCTTTACTGCTGACTGGAGGCTCGAAGTAGCAGAAGCCGTTCATCTATTAATAGTCCCGGCTAAATATAGCAGCTTCTAAATATAGAGCTCCGCTATGTGTACATCGTGTGAAGCCGCGCCGCTCGCCTTGTGCCGGGGCCGTACTCCCCACAGACTTCTCTGGATTCATTTGATGAAGGCAAACAGCTCGGGGCGATTAGTGCATGCTGGTCCAGATACCTCTGGCACAACACGGCATTTAACACTTTCAGACTTTTTACCTGTGGGACTTGCATGGCATTCAATTCTCTCTTTACAGAGGATTGGCAATGCATTACTGTACATTGTACCTCTCCCCTCCATACATGAAGACAAAAGTCAATGACCTGCAAATGCCAGCGCTAAAACCATGTGTCTCTGCCCCTCCCACAATGGTGAGAGTTCCCCCCAGTAGTTTGTGTCTCTGCCCCTCCCACAATGGTGATATGTGTCTCTGCCCCTCCCAGAATGGTGAGATTTCCGCAGTAGTTTGTTACAGGCAAAAAAAAACTACTGGTGGGAAATCTCACCATTGTGGGAGGGGCAGAGACACAAACTACTGGAGGGAAATCTCATCATTGTGGGAGGGGCAGAGACACAAACTACTGGGGGGAAATCTCATCATTGTGGGAGGGGCAGAGACACCAACTACTGGGGGAAATCTCACCATTGTGGGAGGGGCAGAGACACAAACTACTGGGGGGAAATCTCATCATTGTGGGAGGGGCAGAGACACAAACTACTGGGGGAAATCTCACCATTGTGGGAGGGGCAGAGACACAAACTACTGGGGGGAAATCTCACCATTGTGGGAGGGGCAGAGACACAAACTACTGGGGGGAAATCTCACCATTGTGGGAGGGGCAGAGACACAAACTACTGGGGGAAATCTCACCATTGTGGGAGGGGCAGAGACGCATCATTGTGGGAGGAGCAGAGACAAACTACTGGGGGAAATCTCACTATTGTGGGAGGGGGGGGCGGAGGAAATCTCACCGTTGTGGGATGGGCAGAGACACAGAGCTGTGTCACCCCCACCCCTGTGCCTGGAGTTCTCCTTCATCTGGTGGAAGTCATGTGACTCTATCAATATTTGATGAAGTTCTATTTCCCTTTTTATCTCTCTGAAGACGAGTCTGTTTT